TAGTCTTGATTTGTTGCCTTTGGGGCCGGAATAACTTTTAGGCTGATCTGCTGGGACCCTGTACAGGAGCTCAGCCCAAAGCAGTAGCCTCCTATAATTTGTAGGCAACAAATTATCTAACAAACATTTAGTGAGATACCATTTTTGGGCCAAGCACTGTGCTGGATGCCATAGGATGAGCAGAAAGAACCTTGCCCTCAGGGTTCTCTGCCTCTGGGAAAGACAAAAATAATCTACTCAGTGAGTTCAAGGACAGCCTGAAGAATGAAGAAAAATTAGACAAGCAAAATCCAAAGAACTCTAGGCAGAGTGTGGTCAAGAATTCCGTTTCAGAGGCTGGGCAGTGGTGGCGCACACCTTTAATCCTAGCACTCTGGGAGGCAGAGGCAGGAGGATCTCTGTGAGTTCAAGGTGCGCCTGGGCTACAGAGTACAGAGTGAGTTCCAGGGAAAGGCGCAAAGCTGCACAGAGAAACTCTGTCTCCAAAAATAAATAAATAAATAAATAAATAAATAAATAAATAAATAAATAAATAAATAAATAAAACAAAAACAAACAAACAAAAAAAGAATTCCGCTTCAATCGACTATAGTGGTGCATGCCTATAATCCCAACACTACAGCGGTTTGGGGCCAGCCTAGAGAAACAATTAAAAGAAAATCTGGCCTCAAGTTTCTTTCACCAGAGTTAGATTTCATTTTCCTTCATATTGGGTGTGGCCTCCTTATTCACACAGACCCACTGAATTCCCGTCTGGTACAAGAAACACTGAAAGTCATAGGCAATTAAAATGATCAGTTAGCATTCTAGCACTACATTGATTATTATCTTTTTATAGAGAAGTTTGTAAACATATAGGAATTATTTACTCCATATCAATAACACCAGCCCATGGATCTGTCAGCCCATGCATCTTTGGCTGTGACATCCATTCTATTGTACAGAACTAACCAGCTCTGCCCTGACAGACTGGTCACAACATCTAAAATCAAATCCATAGGGGCCTGGAGAGGCAGCTCAGTGGGTAAAGAGCTTGTATTGCTCTTCTGGAGGATCTGAGTGAGGTCTCCAACACCCACATCAACCTGTCCCTCCAGCTCCAGATCTGACACCCGGGCTTCCACAGGCCCTTGAATTCAGGTGCACTTACCCACAAACAACACCACATACACATAACTAAAATCATAATCTTTTTGAAAAATCAAATTTGTATTTAATTTTTTGACAAGTCGTTATAGCTTAAAAATACTACTTTATGAACTGGCCATGGTGGCACATATTTTTAATCACAGGACTCAGGAAGCTGAGAGAGGAGCATCATGAGTTCAAGGTCAGCTTGGGCTACACATCAAGACCCTGACTCAAACAAAATAAAACAAAAAAACCTATGCTATAGTTAAAAACTATACTTTTAAAGTAAAAGAGCTATAACAAAATCTTTACAATTCTTTTCAGAGCTGGGGCTGGGGCTCAGTGTGTGCCCAGAGACTTGGAAATCATGCCTGAGGCTCTGCGTGCCATCCCCATCCTGGAACCCCCAAACGATTTTTCAGGTACACCCCATTCCCAGACAACCTCCTTTAACCTCACACCACCCAGAGCTGAGTTCCTCCTATAATGCTGCAGAAACTCCCGCTGCAGCGGCCTGCTCCCGAGCAGCTCATCCTGGATCCCAACACCCCCAGTATTAGGAAACTCACAATACCTGCTGCTCCAACACTGGACCTTTCTGGCTTCACAGTTCCATGAAAGTTGAGACCTGCCTTGGCTAGAAAGTTCCAGTTCTATTTTTGCCCCCAATTTCTAATTAAATAGAACCCAAATAATTCTTTTTCAGGGCAGTGAAAAAAAATTAATGAAATCATTCCATGTTTCAGCAAGGAAGTTGCCTCAGCAACTCTAACACTGCCCAAAGAATATCCCATCCAGGAAAGAAAGCTTTGGCTCCCCCCATCCAGTCAGGAGCCTTGGCAAGCAGGTAGACTGTGAAAATGTTTGCCTTCAGTCGTTACGGTGGACTGACAAAACCATTCTTTACTGTTTCTTAGTAATTAAATGTCACCTCAACAACCAAAACAAACTCCAGAGTGACTTGCGGTGTGATCATGTTATTTCTGCACCATAGTGCCTGACCGCATGCTCTATTTCTCCCTTAGGAACCTAGGCTAGGACGCAAGACAAAGTCACTTCCACAGAGACGAAAGATAAGTAAACAGATTGGAACACGCCAACTCAGTTACTTGAATATATCCACGATTTTGCTTTTAGACCTCAAGCTTCGTAAACTTGTGTTTTATTTTTCTGCTCAGATTCAAAAGCAGTGGTTCTCAGCCTTCCTAACGCTGTGACCCTTTAATACAGCTCCTCATGTGGTGGCGACCCCCAAACATAAAATGATGTTTGTTGCTACTTCCTAACTGTATTTTTGCTGTTATGAATCATAATGTAAATACTGTGTTTTCCAATGGTCTTAGGTGACCCTTGTGGAAGGGTCATTCAGCACCCCACCCCCCACCCCCGGGGTCACAACCCACAGGTTGAGAACTGCTGATGTAGAGTTTTCCCTAAATGCCAACCCTCTGTTGGGTGCTGTACTTCTTACAGCAACCTAATGAGGCAGGACTGGAAGGATCCCTTATAGGGAAAACCGAGGCTCTACGGAATCCTTGCCTTGTGTAGACCTCAACAGTGGAGACTGACTTTGAAGTCTTTTCACTGTGAAATCCTAAGCGTTTTTCTACCATACTATACTTTTGAGACAACCCTCAATTCTTATTTGAAACAGTCAAGTATTTCTAAATGGCTAAAACTTTTGTATGGAAATTTGTTTTAGCAATATATTTTTCTTTTTTATTCCATGCTGGGAGCTGAGCCCAGGCCAAATCCATGACCAGTTAGTAATAATCCAGCCCTGTTTCCACACAAAATGACTTTATTGGTAAATGAAGTATGTTCAGCCAGTTTCCTAAGCACTCAGGAAACACAGGCAGAGAAAGTGAAGGGCTGTGTTGCGGCCCTGGTTGGGACTTTTTTCCTTCTTTCTAAATTGAAATGACGGAGCTCATATTCTCCAGGAGGAAGGTGGAGCTGCTGAGGTAGCAGGGTGGAGTTGGGACGTAGGTTACAGTAGATGCACCGTCGAGAGCTTCTGCTCAGCCACAGATGCTCTAACACAGTCCCTACAGCTAACTACCCGTGGTCCTCTAAGCCGGCACTCCACACCGTGAGAACGAGTCGTTTTCCTCTTCCCCAGAAGGTCCACAGTTAACCTATTTCTGTTATGCACACCTTTCCATGCTTCTGAGGAAAACAGACTGTCCTTAAATATGTAGAACTGAATGGCATTGTAAAATAAAATAAATAATTTTTTTTAAAAAATTGCTTTTCTTAGGTGGGGCATGGTGACACACACCTTTAACCCCAGCTTTCAGGAGGCAGAGGCAGGCAGATGCCAGAGCTACCTACTGAGACCCTGTCTCAAATGTGTATGTAAAATAAACAAACTGCCTGGCCAGGCATGGCTACACATGCCTATGACCGTAACATGTGGGAGGTGTAGACAGGAGAACCAGTTTGAGATCAATAACTATAAAGTGAGTTCAGGGACAGGCTGGCCTGCTGTCTCAAAAAATGAGAGCCAGGTGGTGGTGGCGCATGCCTTTAATCCCAGCATTTGGGAGGCAGAGGATTTCTGTGAGTTTGAGCCTAGCTTGGTATACAAATCAAGTTCCAGGACAGCCAGGGCTGCGCAGAGGGACCCTGTCCAAAAGAAAAGAAAAAAAAAGAAAGAAAGAAGGAAGGAAAGAAGGAATGAAGGAAAGAAGGAAAGAAGGAAAGAAGGAAAGAAAGAAAGAAAGAAAGAAAGAAAGAAAGAAAGAAAGAAAGAAAGAAAGAAAGAAAGAAAGAAAATAATTGCTTCTTTTGTTTGCTTTGAAGCAGCTCTTTGGGCTCCTGATCTCCAATGTTTACACACTCAACTGCATACTCCTCATCCCCTAGGAATTCAGGTAAATACACACTCCAATTGACCCTTTGGAATTGGCTCATTTCTTATACCTAGTCCCTAATTCCAAATTTTTCCCTTTATTATAGCTTTTTGTCTAGTTCCAGTTGATGACATCAATTTTCTAGTTGTCCCAGAAGATAAAAAGATAAGTGTTCCAAAGATATGTACTAATTTCCATAGGCTTCTAGAAAGACAAAAAGTGTAAATTTATTGTAAAACATGTATACAACAAAGAAATCCATTGTGACATCACTGATTTTAAAGTATGAAAAAAGATACCACATTTACCTAATTCATTTTCTCTTGTGGATAAAGTTAATTAAATGCCTAACTTCTTATAAAATCCCATTATCTTCTTGGGTCCTAGACACCCACATTGTTATATTCTAATGAAAATCACAAACAAGAACCCAGGAATGAATGTTACAAAAGAGTAAGATAAACTCAGCTACTGGTGTTGAAAAGGAAAGCAGGTTTGGAAAAGAGAATGGGAAAAGAAGAGGAAGAAAGCTGAATTAATGTCTTCAAAAATTAATCAATCATGCATTACTTTTTATAGCTGTCACATCAAAGCCTTGTTAAAAGGCATTTTTCACAAAATTGCAGAATTATTGTGTTTTTCCTTTTCCAACAAGAATACTGCTGAGATCTAAAAAAAGGTAAGATGGCCATTCCAGGGACGTTAGAGGACTCTCATTTCATATTGACCTGCAGGTGACAGCCTCCCTAAGTGACACTGTGGAATGGCACTCGGAGTTCAGATTCAACTTGATCTGAATGAGTGTCCACTCAGTAGCCTTCTTCGTTTTACCTCAAGGAGCTGCTTCCATGGTTAATAGCAACAACAAAAAGCAGCCACTTCCTAGCCTGGGGTTCTTGGTAAGTCATTAGCCATTATTCTGAAAATACACAACTTCACATTTTATAGAGGCCAGAAACATAGTTCAAAAGTTCCCGAAAGTATATTAAATAAAAACCACTTAGACACGTGAGATCTCACTGGTGAGGTTCATTTAAGGTGACGTTTGCTATTGTCACTGTTCCCACTGGATGTCGTCTCTTCTCAGTTTCACCTGCAGATTGTGAACTTGGACCGGATGAATGCTGCTGTTTTTCTGAAAAGGGTTAGTTTCATTCAAACATTTCCTAGGACTATTTTTCTTTGGTCCTTTAGGTTTGCCAGCCTCCCAATGGATAGAAGGTTCATTTATCCTTGAGCTCTGAACTCTCTGCTGCAGTTTACGGACCTGTAGAGAAAGGAAAATCTAATGTTTTAGGTAAAAAATAATATAAATATACTCTAAAACAGATGACTAGATTGGAGGATTAAAGATTCCGTCAAAGGTTTCAATTCAGCAAGTTCCTCGTGACCACAGCGGACACCACTGCTCAGCAGCCGACTAACACCCAAACAGCCCTGGCTTCAGGGAGCTGTGGCCCCAGGGAGTGAGAGGAAGCACAGAGACGATGACAGAGAACACCTGAGCTGGCACAACTCTGTGTGCATGTGAGAAGGTCAGAGCGGGGCAGATGGGGGAGGGCAGGAAGAGGAGCAAAAGGCTCCTGGTGGGAACCAGAGCTCCAAGAGAGTGGGGATTTTTTAGGTGATATTAACAGCAAAGTAAAGAATTGGTACTAGCTTGCCTAGGAGGCAACTTTTAATTAAAGATTAAATTTCTCATAATAAAAGCCTTGAACACTTATTCAAATTATAAAATGTATAGATTGGGTAACTCTAAAAATTGTGATTATTCTTCTATCTAAAGATTCTTCTATGTAATTCCAAGAATGGGAACAAGTTGTATAATCTTTGCCCCAACACAATCACATCTTTTTTTACTTGCTATAGTCTTAAAAGCCAGTAAAATGAAAATACATTTTTCTTTCTTGGCTATAAATATAACAAATACAGTGATATGCTCTGGAATAATCCTTCTGTACACTGTGAATATGTATTACTCTCATTGGCTAATAAAAAACTGAGAGGCCAGGCAGGAAGTTAAGAGGAAAAGCCAAACTGAGAATGATGGGAAGGAAAGTGGAGCCAGGGAGATGCCAGTCAGCCACCCAGGAAGCAAGACATGCTAGAGGACACGTAAAGCCATGAGCCAACATGGCAATACATATATTAATAGAAATGGGTTAATTTAAATGTAAGAGGTAGTAACAGGCCTGAGCTATTGGCCAAGCATTTATAAATAATATTAAGTCTCTTTGTGGTTATTTAAGCAGTACTGGGATGGGGAGCAGGCAGTCAGGACAAGAAAACTTTTGACTACAGTAATATTTAGAGTTTTTACGAATCGCTGTTATAGAAGTATGTGTGTGTGGCAGGGTTGATATACCAGCGGCTTGTCCAGATGCTGACCCTCCCCAGGCAGAGAGCTGCATGAAGTATATGATATGATGTCAGGTTTCCTGGAAGGACTCCCTTCTGTCAGCAATGTCAGAGTGTTCTAAGTTCAGCTATGGATGGAGTCATCGTCTTAGAGTAAAACATTATACCCAGGATCCTTCTGTTAAAATATTGACGGTTATGCCATTCTTAGTTACTAAAACATGAGCACAGAATCCCCCACTCCTGGATTCTGCTAACTATAGTCTGCCATGGAACACAATACAGGCCAGCTTGTGTCAGGAGAAGGGAGAGAACGGCTTCAGGATGGTGGTACCAGGTTTCTGTATGGTGCCCCCTCTGTGGGCACAAAGGGGAAGACATGAGGAAAGAATGCTGGAAGGGTAACTGGAGGGACGCAAGGCGACAGCCACTGTTCAATTTCCTCAAGGTCTGACCCACACCAACTCTTTTGCTCCTACTCTTGTCTGGAAGAACTGAAGAGGAGGCCCAAGTCATTACATGCAGTGACGGCTCTCTGTAAGAGGACGAGGTGACTCCTGTGTACCTTTTAGCACACCATACCACAGACTTCCAATGTGACACCGAATCCACAAATACACTGCAGAATATTTGTTTAACTATGCAAAAATGTGTTGCATTAGTTTATGTTGCAGAACATTTGTTTGTAAAGATGTGTTGCTGTTTTACCTTGCCTGCCTAAGGCACCTGATTGGTCTAATAAAAAGCTGAACGGCCAGTAACAAGGGAGGAGGTATAGGTGGGACTTCTGGGCAGGGAAAGTATGTAGGAGGAGGAATTTAGGCTCTGAAAGGAAAGGAGACACCAGGGAGATGTCAGTGGCCAGACAGACAGACATGGAAGAAGCAGGGAAGCAGGACATACAGAATGAAAGAAAGGTAAAAAGTCCCAAGGCAAACCGTAGATGAATAGAAACAGGTTAAATGAAGTTAAAAGAGCTAGTGGGACAAGCCTAAGTCTCCATGTCTTTATTTGGGAGCTGGTTGGTGGCCCACAGAAGCATCCGACTATACACAGGTTTCTAGTAGCTCTTTTTCTTTCCCACATTGTATGGCAATTGTTTTTATGTCCTGAAGACCAGCAGTTCTAGAAGAGTAGCGTGTGTTCGTTTCTTTGTTAAAGAAAAGTGTCCTTACACTGTCTTGATGCTTCTTGAGTTTGGAGATCTGGTCTCCTTTTCTTTCCATCTTCCTGACTAATTGCTCCAGCGCATGCTCTGCATCATCAGAGACTGAATGGCTTCCATCTTGCAGCATCTGTTTCTGTAGTTCTCTGTGTTCCCTACAGAGAAAAGCAAACCTCAGGGCTGGGGATGTAACTCAGTCAGAGAGTGCTTCTCCACACATCAGGTCCTCTGTTCAATACTCAGCAATACAAATAAATAAGCAAACAAAAACACAATAGTATTGTCTGACATGACACATGGATTATTTCTGCTGATTAAAAACAGAGCAAATACAAGCCAGGTGGTGGCAATGTACGCCTTCAATCTCAGCACTAGGGAGGCAGAGGCAGGAGGATCTCTGTGAGTTTGAGGCCAGCCTGGTCTACAGAGTGAGTTCTGGGACAGACTCCAAAAACTACACAGAGAAACCCTGTCTCAAAAAAATAAAAACAAACCCCAATAAACCAGAGCAAACATCAAATACTGTTATAGGTCATCTGTTGGTCACATCTAATTTTTTGCTCAAGTATGAGTTTTAATTAAGAGTAAAGTATCAATCTTCAAAAATAGTCACTGGCATTAGGATATATAACTAAATCATGATAAACATAATCATTTAGAACTATCTCAGTATCTAGCTGTTCAACAATCTAAAAAGCAATCTAAATTCTTGGTGTCCTCCGCTAAAAAGAACGAACAGTTCTACAGGGCAACACACGGTCTTCTTCGGTTCCATGTCTGGGACTGGAGAGATACTGTCAAAGGAACAGTCAGGTGTGCAGCAGCAGTTCATGAGCTCAGCCAGCCTGCCACCCAAGTCACGTCGTTCTGATGTGTATGTTGAAATGTACTTAAGCATGGGATATAACACAATGACTCTTGTGTAGCTCTTCCTTACTGAGGATGCTTCCAAATTTGTAATGCAGACCAGGCAGAATCTAAAAGGGATGATATTCTTACTTGCCTAATGAAATAACCCACATAATTAAAAGATTTTAAAAGAAAAGTGTATTCTCCTTCTAAAAGCTCTTCTGAGTTCTAACCTAAAGTCTTCAGACTCGATACATTTGATTCATAGTATTAATCTATCAGTCTAAATCTCTGGAATACAAGAAAGTAGTAATTAGACATAGTTAAAAAGTTAAATACGAGAGTAGATAGATGAAAAGTAGTATCAGTAAGTTTGTAGATCAAAATAAAGTCACTCCACATGGCCAGAGAGGCCTTAAGAATGTATAGGTGGGAGCTAGGGAGATTGCTAAAGGGTGGAGACCGTGTCCTGCTCTTGCAGAGGACTGGAGTGGGTACAGCCCTCGGTCCCTCCAGCGGCAGGGAGGCCAGCCCCTCTCCTGCGGTCTGTGAGAGCCTGCACCGTGTGCACTACCCACTCCCACCCAGCGTTTTTAAACCAACGAGAGTAAACCTTAATGACATGACTGTATAGGTTTGACAAGAAGACGTATCTAAACATGTACGGTTATTTTGATAAAGAATAAGCACTTACACAATCATCTGGTCCAGCTCCTCTTGCATTGCCATCAAAAGTTCAGACAAATTGTCACAGGTAGAAACGGGTTCTCCTGAGTCCAGAGGCAGAACTTTGGCCTGGGAACTTGTTCTGAGAGCCTTGTAGAGAGACTGCGGCTCAGGGACTAGAACAGGTTTCTGAAGGTAATACAGCCCATGGGGATGCACCATCTGCAGAAGGTTCACAAGCCTGCATTAGAGGAACAGCCCCCAGTGGACAGCTGGGAGAAGGAGCTATGAACAGACTAGTGCTTGTCAGTCTAGCGCTGGTTAGATTGCTGTCCCCCGACACAAACTCCGGCCGGCCACCGGGAAGAGGGACCCCCAGCTGAGAAACCCTGCCATCCCCTGGCCGACCGGCATTTTCTTTATTGATGATTGATGATGCAGGGAGGGGGGTGGGGGGTAGGGGGTGGGGGGTGGGGGGGGAGGGGAGTTCACTGGGGGCAGTGCCACCCTGGGGCAGGTGGTAAACTGAGCAAGCCATGGCGAGCAAGGCTGTAGGAATCACTCTTCCAGGGTCTCTGCTTCAGTTCCTGTCTCCAGGTTCCTGTCCCAACTTCCCTTCAGGGAGGACTGTAACTGATATAAAGCCTTTCCTCCCCAGGGTGCTTTTGGTCGAGCAATAGAAAGCTCCTGGGGTGGTGAATAAATAGCATCTGCAGCAAAGTCATTTTGCAAAAGCATGGTCTTTATTTTTACCCTCTTACCTTTTCCCTCTCCAAAAACAGAGCTCTAAACCTGGGGTCCATCTGCTGAGGTGGTTCTCGTTTTAAACACTTAGTTTTCTAAAGGTTGGCAAGGGGAAAAGGAAGCAAAGTGCTACTTTAATGTATATTTATGATATGAAAAACTCTCAAAAGACAACAGCAAGTCTAAGTGCAATTTGAATGCATGAGCAGACATGAATAAACATTTGACTGGTGAAACACATGAAGAGGTGGTCAACAACCTTGTGATTAGGGAAACTCAGGCTAATATAAAATACAAAAACCAAAAAGGAAACATCACCACATGTCTATTAAAATGGGAAAAACAACAACAACAACAACAACAACAAAAAATAGTGATGACATCAAATACTGCCAAGAATGCAGAGAAACTACATCACTTGCCTATTGGTAAAACCACTTTGGATGACAAGTTGGCAGTTTCTTATAAAGTGAAACATGTATTTCTCACATGGCCTAGCGAATGCGCTCTTAAGAAATTACTTAGAAAAATAAAAACTGACGTTCACACAAAAGCACCATCAACACACGCACACAACAGCTTTACTTGTGATTGCTGAGAAGCAGCTGCCGCAGGGACCTATGGGACTGTAGGAGATCCTTGACTCCGGTTAGTGCGGAAGGAAAAGTGAATCTGTAACAACCCAGAAGGACCTCTAGGCAACCCCCAAAGCTCAAACTGTGTAACTCGATTTGACTTTTCCTCTCACTGGCATACAGTCTCAATATCTATCGCAGGCTGGTCTCAGATCATAGCAATCCCACTGCCTCAGCCTCCTCAGAACTTAGATGGCAGACATGTGCCACAGTGCCTGACTATACAGGATTCTTGAAATAAGAAAGCTGCAGAGAAGGCAAACAGAGAACCCTGCTGGGGCTGGGGGAGGAGCCTCAGGCTGGTGCCCCTTCAGGGAGGGAGAGACCTTGGGTGTCTTGATTACTGTGATGGCTGCATGATTCCACACATGTAAGAGCTCTACGTACCTCTCAGGCCTCTCAGTTACCATTAGAATTCCACCTCTGCCTCCACTGTCCCTAAAACCCTTCAATGGGTGCCAACTACTTAGAGTCAAAGTTCAAATTCAACACCACCACCCATTTTTAGACAGGAGTCTCACTGTTGGCCAGCCCAGCCAGTAACTTACTACGCACTTCAGGTTGGTCCTAACACAGGGCCCTGCTCTCAGCCTTCTGAGAACAGGAACTGTAAATGCACATCACGACACCTGGCTTTAAAAGTTAGCTTTTTTGTTGTTGTTGTTTTTTGAGACAGTGTCTTATTAGCCCAGGATGGCCTTGAACCCCAGGTCTTCCTGCCTCAGGCTCCTGCATGCTCGGAGTATGGCTGTGCACCTCTGTCCCCAGCTGGGACTATATTACACTACATCTCTCCTCTCCCCTGTGTGTTCCCTTCAGGATTCACAGGCTGACTGCAGGGAGGTGGCTCTGCATCATTCCCCATGTGTCTTCTGTCTACACAGTGCTACAAGACTCAACACATCCCTGCTTGTCCTTGAACTCCCGAAGTTCCTGCCTCAGCCCCGGCCCTGGGACTCTAAGCACGTGCCATCATGCTGGGTTTATCCGTCTCTGTCTCTTAGAGACACTGGTCTAAGTACAACAAAACATGGAGCTGAATATTCACTGGGACATGGAGACCCAGTACCAGAGATGAATGGGCGCTCCTGAACTCTGACCCCATCTCCAGCCATGTCAGAGCTGAATGGGCACTCCTGAACTCTGACCCCATCTCCAGCCATGTCAGAGCTCCTTTGATCTTTAAAGGGAAACAGGGGTATTTTCACACCCATGAGCTTGGCAGTGGAATCAGTGCTTTACTAAGTGATTTTGCTGATAATTACCCTCTTCTCTTTCAGAAGGTATATTTTCTTTTATTCCTTTTATCATCTCATAGTTTCTACAATAAATATGTAAAGTTAAAATTCTGTCTTACCAGATGAAAGGTGGCACTAAACAAACATTTAATAAAAGTCACTGTTCCATTTGCAGTTTATTTATAGTGTTTCTCTATTTGGATTTCCAGTTCAAACCCCATTACTCACATGAGACATTAAAAACAGATTAAGGAAATAAGCAAAATAAGTGGTTTTCATTATTACAGCTATAAAATTATTTATTTCCATTTTTGTGTAAGTGGGAGACGGACTGCATCCCTCATGCCTGCTCAGCAAACAGTTAACCACCACTGAGCCATCTCCTCAACTCTGAATATAGTTCTAAAAGTCATTAAGGGTCCAGGAAAACAGCTGGATGTGTAAGGCCCCTTCTCAAAGCTCTGACGACCTGAGTTCATCCCCTGGAACCCACACGGTAGAACAAGCCCTGCAAGTTGTCCTCTGACCTCCATTTGCATGCCATGGCATCGTGTGTGGTGCACATGTGTGCACGCGTGTACATACGCATACACACACACATTCTAAATAAATAAATGTATAACAAAATGCAGCCAGGTAGCCAGGTGTACACGGCACCCCATCCACTGAGGAGGCTCAGGCAGGAGGACTGAAGTCAAGGTCAGCCCAGGCTACAGTGTGTAACCCTATCTCAAATATTAATAAAGAAAATTTAAATCTTTGTTTTTACTGTATATGTATTTATATAAAGCAGCATTTAGGGTTTTTTTTGTTGTTGTTGTTGTTTTGTTTTTTGGACACAGAGCCACATCAGGTCCAGTGTCTCTGTCTCTGCCTCTGTCTCTGCCTGTGGGTCAGGATGGAAGGCTCTCAGCTGCTTGCTACTTCCCACCAGGATGGTAATGGACTGAACCTCTGAAACGGTAAGCCGCCCTAATGAAATGCTTTATTTTATAAGAGTTGCCTTGGTCATGTGTCTCTTCACAGTAATAGAAAAGTAAGACAATGTCTTTTATCATAAATATCTTCTAAACCTTTCTGGAAAGAAGCAGACCAGATTAAAGGGAGAATAAATGTACACCATAAAGTTAGGAAGTAACATCTGGGAAGCTGTCTATGCATACCTTGGGTGGCTTCTTCTTTTCCTTATAGTGCTGTGAATGTGAAACTGTAGACATTAAAATTTTGCTGATTTCCAGTCCAGTTTGCAGCTGTAAAATTAAAGAACTAATTCATAAGACCAATCTGTAACAAGCTTCTTTACATGTAATGAAAGTTGAGATCTCAGCCTTTGAGTATAAACCACTCTCTGAAGCCAAGCACTGCTTAGCTGCCATGACTCGGATGGAGCTGAAGCAGGGCTGGCTTGAGCCTAGCAGCTCAGAGCCAGCCTGGGGCATAGTGAGACTCCGTGTTAAAAAAACAATAAAAATAAAGCCCCAAACCCAAAAATCTTTTGAGGAAGAATATTCCATAATACATTGGTTTGGTAATTATAATTATTTTCTGTTTATAATAGAATAAATTAAAGAGAGAGAGTGTGTGTGTGGGTGTATGTGCATGTGGGGTGTATGTGTGGTGTATGTGCATGTGTGGTGTATGTGTATGTGGGGTGTATGTGCATGTGTGGTGTATGTGCATGTGTGGTGTATGTGCATGTGGGATGTATGTTCATGTGTGTATCTCAAGCTGAAGCTGCTGTATGCTAGGAGTCAGTTATCTCAACTGAGAATATATGTATGTGCGGGGTTTGGCAATGTATCCAAGTATATGGATGTACTGGCTAAGTGAGAATTTTGTTAGCACAGCAAACAGACAGTAGTAACAATCTGGAACACCCGAACTGAGTGTGGACTAGGGTTTAGGTCATGAGAATGAAGTATGCAAAGACATGCAGTCACTGGATAGACTAAAGGATGCTATTGACCTCACACGCTTTGTCTTGAAAGAGCTTGCGCTGATGTTCCTCTTCCTTTAGTTTTTCCTCTAGATACTTTATCTTATCCTGCAAGAGAACAAACATGTATGAAAACCAGAGCCAAATGTCCTTTCCAAGATGGTGCTAAGGGTCTAGAATTTTAAGAGGTAGCAAGTTAGAGTACAAAGTAAGAAAAAGGAATGGCAATAGATGCCAAGCTTCCTCTTGGCTTTCTAGCTACGCTTCCTTCCTTGCTATTGTTCTTGAGAGCAAGTGAAAGCGACCAAACCCACAGCTTCATTCGCGGCCACCACCAGATCCACGGAGAACAAACCACAGCTTCATTCACGGCCACCACCAGATCCACGGAGAACAAACCACAGC